TGGGGGTGGTGAAGGTGGTGAAGGCAGGGTGGCGCCAAGCCAAAACTACCCAAGAGTGGTGGGGGTGGTGGTGATGTGGGCGGTGAGGGTGCTGGGGGCGGTGAGGGCGGTGGGGGTGGTGGTGGTGGTGGTGGTGATGGCGGCGGTGGCGGTGGTGGCCGTGGTGTTCTTGGTGTTTTTGGTGTTCTTGGTGTTCTTGGTTTTCTTGGTTTTCTTGGTGGTGGTGTTGGTGGTGTTGTTGTTGTTGTTGTTGGTGGTGGTGGTGGTGGTATTGTTGGTGGTGGTATTGTTGGTGGTGGTATTGTTGGTGATATTGTTGGTGTTGCTTTGGTGTGGTAGTAGTCGTTGTTGTTTTGGCTGTTGTTGATGGTGTCGTTTGCGTCGTTGTTGTTGGTGTTGTCGTCGTTGTTGCTGCTGCTGCTGCGACATTCATTCATAGATACAGACATGAAATACAGACACGGACTCATACGCTTGTTGTGAGATTGCTCGGCCAGTTTAGCCTATGACCCGCTGCCGAGTGTTTCAACCTTTCCGGAGTAGCCACTAGGGAGTTTGCTAAATTGCCATGGATAGTGCGTCGCTTGTGCAGTTTGCGTCGGCGCTGCACGAGCATGGAGACAGTATGTCAGGCGACTTGTCCGGCTTAGTGCTCAGAGTTGTGGAAGATGCTGTATCCGCAAAGGAGCCTAGTGACTAGTGACTGTGTTGGAAACACCTGCGCCCAGTAGGTCTATCGGGCATAGAAGGGCTTCAACAAGGAAGAGGCGTGTCTCAAGCTTAGGCAGCCACACCTTTGTGATGTACACCGTACCTGCCGATGCTTTCTTGCAGATGACAGAAGTCAAGATGCACGAGGAGCTCGCAGACGCCGGTGTGCTTCAAGAGTTTGAAGAGAGCCTGGGAAAGGCAATGTTCGTGTCGCACCAGTGGCTGAGTGACACCCATCCTGACCCAGACTTCCAGCAGCTGAAAGTTCTGCAGGATGCACTGAGGAATATCGTTGCCGGAACCAGCTCAATTTCTCAAGCTCTGTTCTCAGAAGTTGTGTATGGTCGAAGAAGATGCCCTGCACCCGGCGACTTCGCATCCGGCCATCTCCACATTTGGTATGACTACTTTAGCGTCCCGCAAAGCCGCGATCACCGCGCATCTCAGGGCCGTCAGACAGCCATTCAAAGCATCCCAACATATGTGGCAAGATGCGAGTTCTTTGAAGTGCTATGCCCGGCTTTGAAGCACAG